TTGTTGAGACGTAGGTCACGTACTCCCGTTGGTGAGCCTCCTGCTTTTTTGGGTTACCGGTTGGATCCTGGGCACGATCAGTGCATATTGTCCTCTTGGAATCTTGCACTTCGATGCTTGTGCGCGTATCCGCCTGAGCGATCCCCCATTTCCATGAGGTTGATCCTACTTGTCGGTGTGTGAGTTTTAAATTTTTTTTTCAAAAGTGTTTGTATGTTTCTCCGGAAGAAATGTGCCGTTGTGGGAATTGTATTAACCTGTATTGTATAATGCTGACCCCTTTGTCTTTTATATCAACCTGGGGTAGAGACGAAAGCGTATCCATTCACGAGACTGACTCCCCTCGTGTCTTATGACGATTACTCGTAGGGTCTACTATATGGCACTGACAGTAGGTTCGTTATTGAACTGGTGCTAGTAGTTTGATAGGTTTTAACCGATCAACTTAGTTGATCATAGAAACCGTAAGTTGGGTCTGCTTATGAAGGACTAGGGTTTTAGCTTTTTTTCTCAGGTGTTTGACACTGAATAAAAACATACCGAATTCCGTTTTATAGAGTTTTCGGGATAAAAAATTCTGGGTTCGCATTGGTCTGGTCTTTTGTTTCGTTGTTTTCAGAAGATTGAGGTGGTGGTGCGAGCATAAATGTATAACAACGTCGAGCAAATTTTTTTTTTGCGCGGGTGCATTTGTTAGGGTTTCTTTCATGGAAAAACGAAACTTCCTTCGATGAAGGTCTGACACACGCCTTCGAAGATTGAAAACCGACGATCGGTTATTTTTTTATTTTTTTATTTTTTTTTTTAATAATATTATTTATGACATGTAATTTTATGTATTGATATAATATTTTGACAAATAAATTATTTATTTATATATTTTGCCCATATAAAATTTGATTAAATTTTTTTTGGAAGAAGTTTTTAATGGTATGAGAGATAAAATTTTTGTGAAAGAGAAATTACTGTTTAATTTTTGCACGATAACAGTCATGATGCACCATGTCATTGCATTATTCGACGGCCTAAAATTTATACTTTAATTCTGCCCAAATTTATATTCTAAATCTGCCAAAATTCATAATCTAAATCTGGCTCAAATTTATATTCTAATTCTGCCAAAATTTATACCCTAATTCTGCCAAATTTATATTCGAATTCTGCCTAAATTAAACTCTAAAATATGCCAAATTTTATACTCCAAATTTATATTAAAAACCACTCTAATTTAGAATACTAATTATATCGATATTAATTCCAATTCTAATTTTTAACAAGATCTGCAAAAGATGCAATTAACCAATCATAAAAAAACTCATACAGGGGGAATTCAAAGTCGGCGGGCTTGAATTGGTCGATTCACGAAAAATGAAGTCATAGTAAAATTAACAACAGAGCATTTTTTATTTAATGAATGTCTGATGCATTCCGACCAGGAATTTCGGAAATTGTCCTGTAATAGATCAAAATACTTTATTTCTGCATTTATTATTTTTTTGCTAGTTTTATTTTTGTATTTTTTTCAAAAGCAACATCACAATTCTATCTGCTGTTTTCATGATAACAGAACCTTTCTCTTGAATTTAGGTTGATGGGGCAATTAGTTACAATTATGACTACTGGCAAATAATTGATTTTACCATTTTTGATGTCTTTACATTTAACAAACTGCTTCGCTCATTTCATCACCAGAACATTTGAACTCTCATTCGTAATTATACTATAATTACTTGTACCAATGCCTAACTGCAATTCTAATTGAGCAACCCTGTTTTGTAAATATTCAATTACTTATTTTTGCCTTATAATTTTGACCGGTTAAATGAAGTTAATTTTATAAAAAAAAAATATTATTATTAATACTTTAACAGTGAATAGCATAGTTTAACATTTATGTTATCTTTTATATAATAAAAAATAAAATCCTAGCTAAAAAAATTACGCCTATGCTAATACCAATTCTAACAAACAATACATTATTGGATTAAGGTATTTAAAGAAATCTCTGAACTTATTGGAGAAGCTTCTTGACTTGCTGGAGTTACTTTACTTGTTTTAATTAAAATAACAGCAAAATATTTAATTAAAATTTAAACTTTTTTGCATGAATGACCCCATCCTACAAAAGATTGCTTTCTTACATCAATACTTATTTGCATTTACTATTAGGCCTGTCAACTTCACAGCCATTAGTACAAGGGCCAAAGTGACAAAAGTTTTCTTTACTATTAAGTTGATATATATGATTAGCAAGTGCACCAAGGCAACTTAACTCGGAACCACAGTAGCGACCTGCAGGGCCACTGAAACGTGTGCAGCTGGCGATGTTTTCAGTTTTGCAATCACAGTTAGGGCCTGGAGTGCAGGCAGCAGAGGTACCAGAGATGAGAAAAAGCAAGGAACCCAAAAAAACAAAGGTAAATAGATAAATAAAACGGTTCATTTTTGTCTAGTAATTACTGTTTTTGCAAATTTAATTTACTTTTTCTTTTTTTATTTGATTTTTTTAATGATCCAATGCCCATATTTATATTATTTTCTTCGTATGTATGAAACAAGAACAAAGTCTTGGAAAACAAAGATATTTTAATAACAATGGTTTTTTTTTGTTAAATTTTGTGAGGCACTATGGTAAAATTTAAATTTATTTCTTATTTGAAATGGTTTCATAAATATAATGATAATGTTAAATGAGACGAAAAGTTAAAATTACATGTTTTTTGATAAAGATTAAGTGGACAACAATTTTTCCCGAATTACTTGTATTCTAATTAATGATCCAATGCCCATATTTATATTATTTTCTTTGTATGTATGAAACAAGAACAAAGTCTTGGAAAGCAAGGATATTTTAATAACAAAGAGTTTTTTTTTGTTAAATTTTGTGAGGCACCATGGTAAAATTTAAATTTATTTTCTATTTGAGAGATTTGAAACGGTTTCATAAATATAATGTTAATGTTAAATGAGACAAAAAGTTAAAATTACATGTTTTTTGATAAAGATTAAGTGGACAACAACTTCTCCCGAATTACTTGTATTCTAATTAAATCGTGCAATGAAAAAAAACTTTAAGAGATAATTAATGTCTATATTTTTTATGTTTGTCACCTTGACATTAAAAAAAAAAATTTTTTTAAGATCATGTAGTGTTTCGTGTTCACAATAAAGAAAAAAATAATAGAATTAATTAATTATTAACCCACTATAAGAATATTTGACTATCGTGTATATATTTAATAATTGGTCGAAATGATACTCGTGAGCAGCCATATTTCCTTTTAAAATATAAAGGAAATGATTACTGTATCGTAATACAGTCAGGGAATTTACCAAATTAGGAAATCACATTCTAGAATGATCTATGGGTGATTTCTTTAATTTGATTGGTTTTCATGTACTTTTTACAGTATTCGTTGTAAAAAAATTTTTTTAATAAAAATTTATTTTTAAAATACTATTAGTTCAAGGGGCGATTTTAATGCTCACCAGAGGTGAAAATTCACCGGGTGCTATATCTCAAGAATATACTAAGTAAACAGGATCAGGTACCCTAAGTTAGAGTGTCCAGAATTCTGTGGTGCATAATTCTGCTCGCTCTAAAAATATCTCTTTATATTGTATTTAGTTTTTAAAAAATGATTAAAGTCACGTTTATCTTATGGAGACAATACAAAAAAATATTTTTAGAGCGAGCAGAATTATGCACCGCAGAATTCTGGACACTCTACCCTAAGTAAAAATGTCCAGAACCCTTGAAAACCTTATGAGAACTAAGATCGGGACCTAATATCTAATCTACATTATGTTATATAAAAAACTCTATCTTAAAACCGCACCCTAACCCTAAAAATTCTTAGGCTAGTGATTGTTACCTCTGGTTAAATTTAAATTAATCCTAGTTCAAGATATCTAGTTTAAATAATCCACAATAAGATTCTTGGGTACATTTGACCAATCCTTTAAAATTTTAGATGATCTACATCTTGCATGTTTTGTTATTCTTTTTTTCAACTACCGAATGATGATTTTTTTTTTTAACATAAAAGTCATTGATCCTAGCATCCACATCCAGGAATCATAATTTGGAAGTAATAGAAATGGGACAGATCATTTTTCATTATTGCATTCCTTCGATCTTTAGTATTTCTAAGGTCTGACTTTATTTTTAAGGTATATAAGACCATGTTTTTATCCTAGTCGGGGATTTCCTCCAAGGAAATACAAAAAGCATGCAAGCAAAACGTATCTGAACATCTTAGAACTTTGTAAGAAGATGTTTGTTATTTTGTATAAATTTACAGTGAATATGTATTAATATTCTTTTCAGGTTTAGAGGTGGAATGTCTGAATCATATTTAATGACCACTTCAAATTTTTGAATTCAAAACTTTGAGCAAAGATATCTCAACAATCAAATTTGGTAAGAATTTTTTTATTTAATTGTACGAATCTCAGAATTTAAATAATTTCTATTTTTACCGAGAACTGCACGTGATATAAGTGACAAATTAAAAAATTGATTGGTATATATCATGTGAACATACAACGAAAAAATGAAATTAAGTTTGGTTTCTTTCTCTTAATTAAGGTATTGTTAGTTTTATTAAATTATTATTTAGCTTTTTATATGATGAAATTTTTTTTACTTGAGTATGATTATATCAAATCAAAATAATTCGAAGCAAAGAGACTCAGTATCCTTGAGAATGCGCACTTCTGAATAACTTCAAACTTGAGGCAGATTTGTTTAATTCCCACATAAGGTCAATGGGTCATATCTTTGTGAACTATTTTGAAAAAATGGTATCAAACTCAATTTATATCAAATCAATATAATTCGAAGCAAAGAGACTCAGTATCCTTGAGAATGCACACTTCTGAATAACTTCAAACTTGAGGCAGATTTGTTTAATTCTCATATAAGGTCAATG